TAACATACGTGATGAGACTAATAATACTTTAAAAAGATCAATATTTAGGAAAGTACAGTGCAATTTAACAAAAGTCATTTTTTAATAAAGAAAAATTTCACTTAAAAAAAACCGATTTTTATATGACTATCCTTGACACAAAATTTTTCTTATTCTCTTAATAATATAGATTAATTTTTTTACAATTTTTTTAATTAAAATGAAATTATTTGAATAAAAAAAAAAATTCTGCATACTTAAAATCCATAAATTTTATCCACACTAAAAATATTCTATGAAATTTAAATGAGCAAAAAAATTTCTCCGGGGATCAGCAAAAAATAATTGCCAAAAAAATCCAAGTGAATATTTTATATTTTTTTATTATAAAATAAAAATAAATATATATATTTTAAAATTTGTAAGTAATATTAGAGGATTGTTATTCATCTGAGAGAGTGATCAGCAGAAGTAGCTGAGCAAGTACCGAGTCCTCTATATGTACTATTTTCACTCGAGCCTTTTATTCATGAGCATGAGGCAAATGTCCAACTGTTAAATTTACTGTATACTTATACTTTTAAACTTTATTTATATTTTCGCATTGGAATTCCAGATAATGCTCGAGTTATTGAAGTAACTCCTCCCTCGAATAATTCTTCCTGTTTACAAGCTGTAACTTATTTCTGATGTTCACTGCACAGTGCAATTGTAATAATTTTTAAATTATAAATTGTAAATAGAAAACTTTTTATTTTTCAGGAGCAAGAGCAAAAAAGTTTAACTTTATAATAAAAAATGGTCAAAAAAAATTTTTTTATTCAATATTAATATTATTAAAAATTGGATTTCAATAATATTAAATAAATAAAATTTTTATTTTAATAGTTTTAACAAAAAACATTTACCGGAGTCTCGGGTAAAAAAGAATCTAAGTAACGGTACTATCCACCGACTTTTCAACGGCGCTGCAATCGCTTTCGACTTTAATATTTATATCAGAAGCTTAGTTCAACTTTTCGGGTAAAAATTTGGGGACAAGTCCCCAAAAAGTAGCTATTTTGAAGTTAGCTCTCTCCAACGCATATGTAGTGCCCAAACTTTTTTTAAATTGCTCTCAATTTCAAAGGAGACACCTAGTAGCTCTAATTTTTCCAACAGAAGCTCGATAAAAATTATCTGGATAAAAATTTGCGGACAAGTCCGCAAAAAGTAGCTTTTTCGAAGTTAGTTCATAATACTTCTTTTGAATCGGCCTTACTTCCTAAGGAGACATTTAGAAACTTTAATTTTTCCAACAAAAACTCGATTAAAAATCTCCAGTTAAAAATTTGCGGACGAGTCCGCAAAAAGTAGCTTTTTAGGAGTTTTAAATTGGTCTCAATTTTAAAAATGATACCTTAAAGCTCTAATTTTTCCAACAGAAGCTTGATAAAAATTCTCCGGGAAAGAATTTGCGGACAAGTCCACAAAAAGTAATTTTTATGGAGTTAGCTTACCCCGACCATATGTGCCATCCAAACTTCTTTTAAATTGGTCTTATTTTTAAAGAAGACACCTGGAGACTCTGATTTTTACTCCAGAAACTCTATTTGACTCTCCAGGTAAAAATTTGCGGACAAGTCCTCAAAAAATAAAAAAAAATCAAAAGATTTTACTGAAACTACTATAAAATTTCGCGGAGTCTCCGGTAAAAAAGAATCTAAGTAACGGTACTATCCACCGACTTTTCAGCGGCGCTGCAATCGCTTTCGACTTCTCAGCTGTTTACAAAATTTCACATGTCAGTGATCAGTTGACACTGAATTACAGTCAATTATAACAAACATTTATAAAAATTAAAAATAAATTTTTTAATGAAAATTTGTCGACAAAAAAAATTAAAATAATTTTCTAAAAAACTCCAAACTTGTCATTTAAAAAATAACTAAAAAATTAAATCAATAAAAAATTTATTCATAGAATTAATTACTATATAAATTATCAAATAATCATCTCAACATCCATTTATGATAGACATTAATAGTATTATTATTACGGTCTTCAATATAATTATCAATATCATATTGCTGCTCATGCTCGAGTTGATAATCATGCTCGCCTTCTGGTTCGTCTTTTTTAAATAAATCGGCCATTAAAAATACCTGCGTTGAAAATATTTATTGATAATAAAGAAACATAATAAATAAAATGATCTAGAATATTAAAAAAAAATAAAATAAAATTCTTACGGTAATTAAAGCGTTTACGGAACCAATTAAAATTCCCGCAGCGACGTCGCTCCAGTGGTGCCTATAGTACGAGAGTCTCGTCATTGAAATGAATGAAATCATCGAGACAAGAGCGGCTTGAAATAAGTGCTTAGGTATTCTTAAGACGCTACTAGTTATGCGTGATTGCAAGTAAAACTGCAATGCAAATAATTAATAAATTTAAATATTTAAAAATTATATTTTTATTTTTTACTCACTATTAATAAGACGCCGAAGAAAGCAATGCAAGATGCGTGATTTGAAAGAAATGATAGTCTGAAAAAAATAGATCAATTATTAATTATGATTGTTGATTAATTATTGATGATTAATGATGAATACCTGGCTTCTTTAGAGCCAGAATCTCCGTAAGCGCTCGTACACTCGAATTGTTCCGGAGTGATGTATTTGTTTTGATAAATCGGCAAGCTGCAATTAATACTCGGCTTACATAATTCCATAAAATTTGGGCGCAATCTTCCGGTAAAATATTTCATTATGTCACCGATTAATAAAGTTGTTAAGGTACCGATAACATAATAACCTCCCTGTAATTATAATAATTATTATTATTATGTTTAAAAAAAAATGAAAAATAAAGGAAAAATTTAAGTTTTTTAAGTTTCGATTTAAAATTCTGGGTCAAATATTAAAAATACTAAAAAATTGTTTCAGAACTTTTTTTGTAGAGAATAAAATTATCTATTTGATTAGATCATAATTTGCCTGTAATTATTATTATTATTACTGTTATTAGTATCCTTAAAAAATTAATAAATAAAAAATTTAATAGTTTTTATTCTTAAAAAATTAATAAATAAAAAAATATAGTAGTTTTTATTCTTAAATAAAAAATTAATAAATAAAATATTTAAGTTTTTAAAGTTTCAATTTAAAATTCGCAATATCTTGCTTTTTTTCTTTAAAATTAAAATTAAAAATTAGAAAACAAAATTATAGAACACATCCATAGTTTTCAAAAGTTTAAAGTGCTGATATTAGCCAAAATATTAAAAATTATAAAATATATTTTGATAGAAAATTAAATTTTCTAAAAAATAAAGCCTTAATCAATTTTCTATCATTTTGCTTTTTTTCTCCAAAATATAAATTTGAAGTTAAAAAAAAAAATTCTAGAACATATTTGTAATTTTCAAAAGTTTAAATTGCTGGCTATGGATAAAATATTAATGCTATAAAAATATTATAAAAGAATTTTCTTATAGAAAATTAAAATTTCCTTATTAATTTTACCGTAGCTTTAACCCTTGAACAAAAATTTTAAAATAATGACTTAAATTTTCCCTATTTTGTAAAAAAGTCAGATTTTTCTTTTATTATTATTATTTAAAATTTAATTTATAAATTTACTCTTACCGTATAGTAACTAAAAGACACCCAATTGGGAATTTTACAATTAAACAATTTTATTTGCTGTCTTTTATTTTTCCTTCCTAAGAAAATTTCTGCGAGTATAATCTAAAAAACATTAACAATATTTACAATAAATATTAAAAAATTAAATTAAATTTTGTTAAAATTAATACAGACCAAAAACAAGAATTCAAATCCCAAAATAACAACTTTTGATATTGAGAATACTGTATGAGCGACGTAAGGATACATTAATGTTTGATCACCACAAAAAAATCCTCTTCTGTGAGGCTCCATAAAAAAATTAACTATGACCACTGCCGCAATTACTAAAAAAAATAATTTGAATTATTATTATTACTACACTGTTAAAAATGTTTGTAAAATTACAAATCAGTGTATAGCAATGCTAAATAAAATACAATTCATGTAATTTTCCAACACCAATCAGGAAATCTACTAAGATGTATTGTAATTTTACAATCTTCTTGTATAAACCTAACACGCATTGTAATATTACAGAACTGTTCGTCAATTTTCAAAAAAAAAGCTTTTAATTTTGCAAATGGGTCATTCCATGTCAAATCGACCAATAGTTGGAATCGACTCCTTTCGATTTGGACGAATTTTGGTCAGAAGTTTTCTTTTATCATATAACGGAGTTCTACCAAAGGAAAAAAAATAAAAAAATTTTTTTCAAAAGATGTGCAAACTCAAAATTTCGCGATTTTTCCAGTTTTTCAATTTTGTTT